TCAGCACGCTTATATGTTGCATGTTAAAGCACTAATGCTGTATGGCAAGCTCATGGCCACTGGCTAAGCAACTGACTTCTGCACATGCCACCAGGCGCGTGCTGAGTCAACAAGGTGTAGTCTCGCATGCTGCCCCATGCAGCTGCATGAACGGCGCATGTAGCCATGCGAGCACATTCTCTTACGAAATGCACGCATGAAGCATCATGCACTCATGCGGGCGTATTCTTGACCATGCTCAGGCGCACCAGTAAACGTGTGTCTCTAAATTCCTCGCACACTTCGCACAGCTTCTTCTGCGCCTCTCCCCACTGCATCGGCGGAGACACGTGTGGCAGCCAAGGTGTCCATGTTGGGCTCCGTGCTGTCCAACTTGCTTCTGGTGCTCGGCCTCTAACCAGAGGGGGAGGGAAGCGTTGGGTAGGGGCGGATGCGGCTGGCACGGGGAGTGAAGGGAGGCAAGGAGAGAGGTGTCAGCTGTCAGTCCATAACTGTCTTGGCGGAACTCTATGGGAAGCCCCATGAATGCCACTGGTATGAGTGTTGAGTTGAAGCGCTTTCGAACTTTCTGCAACTCCTGCCGCTGTCTTGTCCTCCACTCCCTCGCTCCCTCACCCTCTTCTGACTCTGCTTCGAACCTGAGGGCCTTTGCATTGTGGCCCCTGACTGTTTCTGGTCCCTGGTGCCAGTGTGCTGCCTGCTCGCCACACGTTTCACTCCGATGTGTTCCTGCTCGCACGATCGGAGTTTAGGGAGCTCCCTTATCATTCGCCTCTCCTCGAATATGCATTCTCCTTCCGCCCTTTATCCCTCCGCGCCGGCGCCGTCGTCTCACTTTGGAGGAAGGGGCGAGGTCGACCCTGCGGCAGGGTCGCTCACCGCTTCGCGGTGCCGATGTCGCCAGTTGCATCGCTCCTTGCGTGGTGGTCGTGATGGCAGGCCTGGTGGTGGAACACTGAAGCGTATTCGAAGATGCGTTGGCTAGGCTCCCGCAGGCACGCATACGGCGGTCGCCACGAGGGATGTCAAATGGCGCCCTTGGCGAGGCACCACCGTCCCCTACCTTTTCGTTGGAAGCACAGATGTGGTTCATAGTTGTGCCGCATGTTGGCCTTGGCCATGCTACTGAACAACATCATCTCCCAGTCGCTGCAGAAACATATGTGATTCCATTGGGAGGCCCTGTCTAATAGCATTCGGCCCCTCCCGTCACCGTGCTTGGGTCGTGGATGCGAGAGGCCTCGCAGAAGCCTGTCCGTGGCTCTTGGAAGCACGCTTGGTGGCCTCTCGGGGGCCTGTTGTGGGCGTCTCGTGGCCTCCTGTTTTGTTGGCCCCTTGGAGGCTTGCTGACGGTCTCGGGGGCACTGGGGGTAGAGGTCTTGAACCGTAAGTTCGCCCTCTTGGTCACTCCTGGGGCCCTCGGAGGTGGATCGTCAGGGCGTCTTTGGACCTGTTGGACGCTCTTCAGGCCACAAACGCGAGTGAGTATGCGAACAGATTAACAACATTTCGTTTTCAATGATTGTGACCACTTGGACTGGCCCGCTGGGCCTCCAATATGGCCGCAGAGGCCCTTCAGAGGTTTTGAGGACGGGTCCTGGGATCATCCTGGGCCATGGTGACAGTGTTTATTCCAAACCGCGCTCCCGAGACCTAAACAAGTCACGCGACAATCGATGGGAACACGTGCGAGCGCCTGAAAATCTAGGCTGTCAGCCCCTGCGTAACAAGTATTTGCAATACTCCATGCAGCGAACCGGAAGGGACCCGAGGACACTCCACTCAGTGCGTACGGCACTGCTGCGGATCCTCAGCTTTTCAAAAACATTCTGGCGGCGGCAGGGGCCAACGTCTCTATGTCTTGTCGTGAGGTGTGTACCATATCAGAAGTGGTGGTGTATCGCTTGGCACGCCTTGACTACCCGTGGAAATTCCACGAGATCCTCCTGGCAAGTCTCTACTGGCCCTTCACCTTTGGAAACGCCTATGTTGCCAAATGCCAGGCCAACGTTTTGCCAAGCTGCTGGACCCCAGGCATCCGACGATATGTGTTTCAATCCGCGGCACCAGAGGTCCTAGTCCTTCCCCCGCCAGCGCTTCGCCCGGGATCCATTTTTGATAGCCCCTGCCCCAAAAATGGTCTCCAGAGGCGGAAATCTATGAACAATGCCTGGATTGAAAGATCATATCTTCGAGATTTGGAGATGCATTCCCTCAGCCGCCGGAAGCATTGCCGAGAATTCTTCGCAGCCTGTGGGCCTCTTGGGGGTTCGCCCTCCCGCTCTGCGCCCCAAGGCTGCCGCTCTGGATAGGCGGCGCAGGGGTCCTGAGATCGCCCTGGACCTGCCTTGCGGTTCCCGCTGAGGCCAGGCTGGTCCACCTCCAGATGGCTGCCTGTGCGAAGCCCCAAGCCTTGCCACTCCTCGAGGCAATTTTTTCACTCCTGGCGGTGACGGGCGTTGCCGGGGGGAAGGGTGGGTGGGAGGGGGCCGCTAACGTCACGATTCGCGCAGGCACCGCCTGGGGCCTACTTAGGAATGGCGACTTCCCAGACGGCGCCGGCGCGAATTGTGACGTCACCAGGTTGGTGAGGGAGTGCGGTCGGGGGCGGGGCCAGTAAGGGGCGGCAGCCCCAATGGTACAACACGGATCTCTTCCCTCCTCCCCCGAGGGGCGAAACGGAGGCGTGCGAGCAGATAGAGATGGTCGACCAGGGCTTCGAGAGGGCGCGCTGCACGAGCGCTCGTGCTTCGCCCAGGGAAGCGGATCTACCGGCGATGCATCGCCGAGGCAGCCTCGATGCTGCGCCCCCCGAGCCGGTGCCCCGCCGCGCCGCGGCCCGAGCCGCCGCCGCAGCTCGGGGTGCAGCCCAAGCCGCAGTTCAGGAGGAACAAAAAACACAGACACCATGAATCGTCGACTCCCAGGAAAACATTGGAAAATATGGGCAGTGGGGGGGAAGACGAAAATCCAAAAAATATTGGAAACTATGGGGGATCCTGTTATTTTTGTGTGCATGTATGTGTGTGTGTGTGTGTGTCCTTGGGCCCCTTCCGCAGTCCCCAGCCGCAGCACGGCGCCGCGGCCGCCGCCGCAGCACGGCCCGGCAGCCCGAGCTCTGAGTCGGGCACGTCCCTCTACAGGGGGAATGTTCAGAAATAGTCAAACATCCCATCACGGCACTAATTTTGGCCCCAGGGCCCATTGAGGCCCCAGGGGCCCCAGATTAGTGAAGTGATGTTTTTTTCCCACGTGAGGACCCTGAAATTCATCACTTCCCTAAACCGAGCCGAGGACGAAAGTCAGGGGCCGAATTGCTGCTGTGATGCAACATAGGCCTCGTAAACAAAATAGTCGGGGGTCGATTTGTTTGATTATTTTTCTGATCATTTCGGAGTATTTTGGAGGTATTTTTTATTTTTCGTCGAGAATCGGCCTGCAGGGGACAGGCCCGACTTCACCCGAGCGCTGGTGGTCCCCCTTCACTGTTTCGGGCGGGGCTGGGACACGGATGCATCGTGCCAGAGCGTTCCAGGACGCTCTCGGAGCGTTCCCGAAGGCTCTGAGAAAAGGCAGCGGCGCCCGGTATATCCTCGAGGGCCGCCAGTTCTCACAGATCCCGGATTTATCTCTGTCCGACGTTGTCCCTGTCATGGCTTCGATGATGATGATGCTGATGATGATGATGATGATGATGATGATGCTGATTATGATGCTATTGTTTTTGCTACTGGTAATGGTGCGGCTGCTCATGATGAGGATGCTAATGAGGATAATGAGAGAGGTGATTTTGTTGTCGATGATGATCCTGATCATAATTATGGCAATGTTCATGATGACGATTATGACAGTGATGATGAGGTAGCTGCTAATGATGGCGATGGTGATGATGAGGTTGATGATTATTTTTTGATTATGCGGGTTGTGATGCTAATGATGCTGATGATGACAATGATGCTGCTGATGATGATGATGATGATGATGATGATTATGATGCTATTGCTGTTGCTACTGGTAATGGTGCGGCTGCTCATGATGAGGATGCTAATGAGGATAATGAGAAAGGTGATTTTGTTGTCGATGATGATCCTGATCATGATTATGGCAATGTTCATGATGACGATTATGACAGTGATGATGTGGTAGCTGCTAATGATGACGATGGTGATGATGAGGTTGATGATTATTTTTTGATTATGCGGGTTGTGATGCTAATGATGCTGATGATGACGATGATGCTGCTGCTGATGGTGATGATGCTGATGCTGCCGCTGTTGATGATGCTGATGATGATGATGAGTCTGATGCTGCTGCTGATGATGATGACGATGATGATTTCGACGATGACGCCGATGCTGCTGCTGATGATGGTGCTGCTGGTAATGACGCCGATGGTGATGATGCTGATGATGATGATGACACTGATGATGATGACGTCGATGATGATGCTGATGATGAGGATGATGATGCTGATGATGATGCTGGTAATAGTGATGATGGTGGTTAGGATCATGATGCAGATGTCGACGATAATGCTGCTGATGATGATGGTGATGATGATGCTGATGACGATCATGATGGTGATGCTGATGCTGATTATGATGCTGATGCTGATGACGATGCTGATGCTGACGATGATGATAATAATGATGAGGATGACGATGCTGATGATGATGATGATGATGATGATGATGATGATGATGATAATGATGATGATGATGATGATGATGATGATGATGATGATGATGATGATGATGATGATGATGATGATGATGATACTACTGTTGCTATTATGTTGCTGCTGCTGATGATGATGATAATGATGATGACGAACCCTGATCTATCCCTCTCTGATGTTGTCCCTGTCCTGGCCTCGGCTTGCTTCTGTCCAGGCTCGCCGCGCGCGTGCCGTGCGTCGTGGCCGCCTATCGGGAGCTCCCTGCTGCCCCGAGGTTCTCGGGTCCGCCTTTTTGGTCGGCGGCATCCGGCACAAAGAGCAGGCCCGCGGTGGGTGCGGGGTGGGCGGCCGCGGGGGGGGGGGGATGGCACCGAAGAAGAATAATGATAAGAAGAAACGGCGTAACCATACTTTCTCGGAGCATCGGTCCGCATCGCCGATGTATCGGCAATGCGGCTAGAAGTGGAGTCCAAATTCACGCCGATGGCGCCGATGCAGCGCCGACGTCGCCGATGCATCGCCGACGCATCGCGGATGCCTCGGCAGTGCATTGGCGATGCGGTGCGATCCTCTGACCTTCTCTGCGCGGACCCCATGTAAGAGGCCTCCATGTTAGGCCTCGGCTGAGGAAAGGATGAGCCCCCCCTGCCCTCTCTTTCCTCGTGCGCGAAACCATATCCGTATCCGCGGCCTCATTGGTCGGGCCCCTGGGTCGCGACCCGTGGACACGTGGCGCTTTCTCCGCGGATGCCCCGTGCGAAGCGCATCCGTTCGACCGCGCATCCGCAGACCGCGGGAGCCCGGATACGGATCTATGTTTTGCCGCTGGGTGGGGCATGGCCCTTTCGATGTGTGTGTGTGTGTGTTTGCGTGTGTGATGTTAAACTCAGAGCGTGAATTACCTACCCCGCTTTCGCTTCCTGGTAAAACCAAGTCATACCACGCTCCTCCTCGTTAAGCGGCCTGACCAGTACAGGCCGTAGTGTGGCATCGTTTGGTATCTCTTGGAAGCGAGGGTGGTCAAAAGCGAGGTAGGTTTGCTTTCCCCCTATAAACCCAGAATCAGAACCATGAAGGGAGGATGACTTCCTTAGTGGGCCCTGGAAACGACAGGGCCGTTTTGTTACCGGTTCTGTTTTGCCGTTTTTGTTGCCGGTTCCGACGCCGTTGTTTGACCGGTTCCGTCGCCGTTGTTTTACCGGTTCCGGCTCCGGTTCCAATCCTGGAGCCGTTTTTTTTTGCCGTTTCCGGTCGCCGTTTTTTTTGCCGTTTTTCATGTTCAAGGGACATTTTTCTGGAAACGGTGAAAAAACGGCCCTGCCGTTTCCGGGGCCCACGAGGATGACTCCCCCCTCTCTCAGGGGGGGAACAGCGCTATGATCCCCAGCCAGTGCTTCAGTTACCGCTGCCCGCGGTGGTTTGCGCGCTGTCCAGAGACGCCGCCCTGGCGACCTCGGGCCGCTCGAGCATTTTCGTTGTTCTTTGCCCCGGAGCTTTTTTGGTTATGTTTCATCGGGAGCCTTGAGACGGGGGTCAATGCAAACGGGGGTCAGCCAGGGCACCAGATCCTGCAGGATCCTGCGAAGACCCCCTCTGGCTGACCCGGGTTAGCGAGCCGCTCGTGGCCGCGAGGCGGCCGCGCATATTGGTTGACCTGGGTTTGCGAAGATCTGCGCTGCAGCTTTTTTTTTTCTTTCTGCATTTCAGTTTTTGCTTTCCTGCTGACCCGGGCCTGGATTGACCCGGGTCAGTCAGGAGCGAAAGAAGGACGTACATGTACATGAATCCACGCTGGTTTCGAGAGCACGCATTGCACAAATGTTCGTATAACGCGGCCGGTCTCGCGGATCGAGGGGCCGTGTTCGTGTACATAGCTGGGCGCGTACGTCCTTTGTGGGCTCCCTAGTCAGAGGATCCCCGATTTCAAGCACTTGGAGCTACCCTTGGGGGGAGGGGCGCCCTGCGCCACGGGAGGGCAGGGACTCACCGCCCACCAAACCACCCCAACCCAACCCGAAGGCCCTAATTTGCCCTCCATTTCCAGTTGGGGGGGGGGTCGGGGAACGTTGAGAAAACACACATGGAGCTCGCACCCCCCCCCACCCGAAATTCGGGTCCTCGGGTTGGGTTGGGGTGGTTTGGTAGGTCGTCAGGATTGACCCGGGTCACGGTCAGAGGATCCCCGATTTCAAGCACTTGGAGCTGCCCTAAGGGGGGAGATAGGCGCCCTGCGCCACGGGAGGGCAGGGACGTGGGCGGGCCCCGCCGGGCCGAGGGGGGGCCCGCCCGCCGGCAGGACCGCGGCAGCCGCACCCCGACGGCTCCGTCTGCACGCCTGGCCGCAGCAGCGATGGCAGCCGACACGAGTCCAGATCTCGTAATAAAAGGGAGGGGGTCTGGACCCTCCTCCTCCTCCTCCTCCTCCTCCTCCTCCTCCTCCTCCTCCCTCCTCCTCCTCCTCCTCCTCCTCCTCCTCCTCCTCCCTCCTCCCTCCTCCCTCCTCCCTCCTCCTCCCTCCCCCTCCTCCTCCTCCTCCTCCTCCTCCTCCTCCCTCGTGGGAGAACCCTCCAAAACGTCGTCCCCAGACCCCCCCCAGGCCCTCCAAGATGGCCTGTCATCTGACGGCTACCAGGATCTGGCACCAGAGGAGGAGGAGGAGGAGGAGGAGGAGGAGGAGGAGGAGGCGGCGGAGGAGACAATTCACCGCCCACCTCAGTGATCCTGACCTCTGCTCCGAGGAGGGCGTCTCCACCGCTCCTGGGCCCAGGAAGGGTCTGGCCAGGGCCGGGGAGGTGTCGGTCCCAGACGCCCGGCGGTGTGATGTTTGCGGGGTCACATGCGAGCCCTACCCCTACCCCTCACGATTTCCGAGGGGGAGGGGAGGGTTCACTTCGTCGCACGTGACCCCCTAGTAGCACCGCACCCGACGGCTCTGTTTACGCACCTGGCCGCAGCAGCGACGGCAGCTGACACTAGTCTCGAGCAGTGGCGAAGCTTCCCGGCTCGCCGATCGCCCCACCAGACAATGTTCTAAGAACCTGTTTGTGGCTCCCACGAAAAGTTCTCAGAACATTTCTGGCTGGGACTGCTTTGTTTTAACACATCGGGTTCATGCTCTCAGAACATTGTTTTTGTGTTTGGAACATTTGTTGGGTTCTAAGAGCATTTCGTGGTATGCCTATCGGAATGCCGGGACGGCCGGTCCCTGCTCAATCGTCATTTGACTGCCAGTGACATGCGCCTTACATTTCACCACCGTCCTCCTGTGCCCTGTGTCGCTGGTGAATCGAGATGGGCACGTAAAAGAATTGTGACGAAGACACCTGTCTACTTTGAGCAGGACTCGCTGTCGGCGTCGCCCAGTCTTGTGCCCTGGAATCCTCATGTATACATCAAGTCGGCTCGAACAGTAGTGCACGTGGATGTGTTTTAGGGCTCCCGTCATGATTTTTCTAAATGATGTATTTTACTCGGAAGTGTCGGATCTCAGGGTCGTCGGTGGGCTCTCGCGCCTGAGAACCTCAGGCTGCCGTCGGAGACAAAAATGCCTCCTGTTCATGAGCGGCCGCTCTTGCTTTTGAGCAACATTTGCTGGTGGGCATCGTGCTAATTTTCCTCATGGGTTTGTGGCGTGCTAATGTGTATCGCGTCTCGTGTCCTGTGTATTCCTGCAGGCCTCCTACATGGGTCCTAGCAATTATGGCCTGAGGATCACGCCGCATCGCCGATGCATCGGCGGTGCGGCTCGATGCAGATCCAGCTTTCCTCCACGCCGTCGGCGCCGAAGCGTCGCCGACTTCGCAAGTCCATCGTCGCTGCAGCGGCGATGCGGCGCGATCCTCCGAGCCCCTCCGGGGGGAGGAGGACGAGGAGGGGCAGGAGGAGGAGGAGGAGGCCCGAGAGGTCCGTAGCCATTTTGGCTCAAGGCCATTGCCCGAAGCCTGCCGAGAATCGGTAGTACTCGGAGGGGGCTCGAGGTGCTCGACAGGAGAGCGCTCCCCCTTTCTCACCTACCGCACAGCAGGCAGCATTCTGAGAACCAACCTTCATTTCAATGACAAGTGGCCGCGATGGAGACAGGGCTGCGAAAAGTGCTCGCACTGATAGTGATCTTGCTGACTTACGTAAGTATGTGGACGAAGCCAAGGCCACTTTGGACGCCTCCATCCAGTCCGTGCGCACGCAGGTCGGCGCTCTCAACTCATCTCTCAGCTTGCTGTCCAACACGATTCATGAATCCATGGGCAGGGTGCAGGCCCAGACTGAGGAGAAGGTCGCCATGCTCGGGGAGAGAATGGACACACAAGATGCACGCATCGGGGAGATGGCTGCTCAGATTGAACAGCTGCGGACGCTGCTCGGAGACATCAAAGCCGACAAGCCGATCCCCAAGATCGTGGACCCCAGCTTTGATCGAGAAGTGGATGGTGAGATCGTGCTCATACGCTCGAAGGGGACGTTGCCGAATAATCGCATCTTGGATTCATTGCGCAGCTGGATCAGTCGCAACAATTTGGAGGACTCGGAGATCATGCTGGAGGGCGACGCCGCCGCCAAGCGTTTCACCATGCGTGTGGGTGGCTCGCGTGGCTATGCGGAGAGGAAAGAGCTCATGGGATCCCTGCGCAAGCAGGACGGCACCTATGAGCGCTTCACATGTGCTGACGCCACTGGAGAAGTTCATGAAGTATTCGTCTCCACCGACAAATCACCAGCCATGGTTCGTCGTGAGCTGGGCCTCGAGAAGATCAAGAATGTCGTGGCACAGATCAAGCCGGGGCTCAAGCTGTTCTCCGACAAGATCAAGGGGGATATCAGTTGCCAGTGGAAGCCTTTGGTTCGACTGGTTCCACAGCCTGGAGACATGCCGCCGCTGCTGTCCTTCGCGAATGCGAACCTCGAGGGCTTCGGCATCGATGTACCAGATCTGCGTAGGCAGTTGCTTGCAGCGTTCGCGCAGGAGAACGCTGTGCAGTGGAGTGTTTAACCCGTTGTTCACGCGCTGGCGTGGACCTCATAATCAGCCATGGAAACTGTGTCTGACTACGTGGAATACCCGTTCTCTCTTTCACCATGACCTTGGGCTTCGTGACCGTAAAGTCCGTCTTCTCTCTCGCCTCCTTTCCCAGGGCTCGATCGTCGCGCTCCAGGAAACCCACGGGTCATACACGGAGATCCAGGAACTATGCTACCATCTGAACAGGCACGTGCGACAAGCGCCATCATTCTCTCCTTCCTCTTCTGCTGGTGGAGTTATCACGTCCGTTCCCTCTTTCCGTCACCTCCCCGCTGAGCACAGGCCTGACATATCTATGCGCATCA